GTTTATTAATGAAAGTTTGAAATCATTATTTTTATTGTTCGTACAACTGTGATGAAATGTGGATGCAAAATGTAACCTTCAAAAAAAAGAAGTGTTGTAAGCAATGAAATGTTATAAATGTAGCCACAAATCGGATTGCAAATTCTCATGAGGGAGAAAAAAAAAAGGATTTGAGTCATATTTTAGAAGTAACTGGAAGACTGAGAGGTAAAAAAAAAAAAGAGACATTTCGAAAATTTACTATAATTTATTTTAGGAGTTAGTATAGCTGTCCCTCCTATGAAACCTTGTGTCATTTCTGGGAAACTTTTGCAATTAAGCCTTTTCTGTATCATATTGAAAAGTTACTGAGAAGAGAATAGAAATTACGCGACTGTCTTCTTTGCTGGTCAATTTATTTTATGGTTCGCCTTTTCTTCTCAAAACTCGCAAATGTTACGCTTTTTTGTCCGCCATTCAAATCCAATTCTTAATAATATGGGCACGCATTTATTCAACTGTTCGCTATTTTCCAACTATGCATTCAGTTGCATAAGCTGAAATAAACCGGTTGAGGTTTTGTACTAAAGTGGAGTCACTGCCACAGCTATAAACAATTCCGTGCGTTTTACGAGAAGTGACTTTTACGGCTGCCCTTAATTGTGTATCAACGAGCTCAGACATCTTAACCTACACAATCTCAAAGCACGCGCAAGTTCGGTAACGTCTTCTTAACAGGGGTTAGGAACTCCTTTTACTTGACACCTACGGCGCAGCAATACAGAATAAAGCTTATATATATATATATAAGCCGAAACATATATATATATATATATAAATATATATATATATAGGCCGAAACAGTACTGTCTGCAGTTATATATATAGCTCTTTGGCATACAAAGCTTTGCTTTCATGTCCAAATTGAGCACTCTATCTAGGATGAGTCATTGCCGTTGCAATTGCGCATGCTCGCTGGTTTACTCTAGTTTGAGCACTCTGGCATGGCTTAGACGATACCACAAAGGTTGGGTCGTTTGGGGTGACCGTCTCGGTTCTCCCCCATCCTAGCATTAGCACTGCACTGATGAGGCCCAGAAGGCCGAAACAGTACTGTCTGCAGTTATATATATATATATATATATAATTATCAGGATTTAGGTTACTTGAACTTTTACTGCAACTCTGAGTTTCATGCGTCTTGCGAAGCCATCGTCAGGCAGTTGCCTGAACAGATGAGATAAATTGACAGTTGCCTTAATGAACAGATGATACATAGAGAAGCATATTAGGAAGAGAGGAACAAAGTACATGTTATACACTGTTATACTGGATCCATTTAGCAAATAAAGAGGAACCCACATTAAGCAGCCACCCAGGAACTGACTTGAATGTCTGGCTGACACAGGTTGTGAATTTGAATTTGTTGCACATGCAGTTCTAGCAAGTAGCTATAGACCCTAGCTAATGCAGTGTTTATTTTACCTGCCATACATTGTTGGTATCTTTCACACTCATCTTGCATTTTTACGTACAGATTTCATTGGGGTGTCATTTCAGATTCTTGACGATAATAATAATAATAATAATAATAATAATAATAATAATAATAATAGCTTTTATGTATATAGCGCTCATATCCGGAGCTCATGGCGCTTTACAACACTACGCGGAGGACTTTTACCAGACTGCTAAGCAGTTTACAATCAAATAAAGAGAAATATCTTAATGTTAAATATTGTGTTATTGCAGGTACGGTTTTGTTCGTGCAGACCGCCTTCTTACGCTGAGACACCTTCTTTACGTGCTCAGCTCCACAGCAAACCTAACAAATGAAGAAAAAGGTGAGTTTGAAAACCTTCAAGACAACCTTAAAACTGCAGATAAAACTTACCAAGGAGAACACTGTAGTGATGTTGATGTCAAAGTGTTGTTTTCGTATCGGCGGCTTGATTACTTTCACAAACAGGAGGCTTTTGGGAAGACTTTAATATCGATTCTTACTTAACAGTTTCAAAATTAATTTGAGATTTGCCACTAATGCTAGGGAATAGCGTATGGGGATATTTAGGCTACAAGTGTCTCCCCTCTCTAGTGAAAAAGCGATGATTTTTCACGGCCAGTCATACTTTTACTTTCAAGTGATGTACTAGTGTCCTCTTGCCCTCCCTGTGCATCTCCATATCTTAAATGTTACCTTTCTAATCGGTAGTCCTTAGTATGCGCTGATGTTTTACACCAAAGTGTCTCGGAACCGTTCATGATTTTTTGGGCTGGTTAGACCTTCAAAGCAGTAAGGGAGCTGGTCAAACTTTGACTAAAAAGGTAACGAGGATGCGTTGTTTCCGTGAGATTAGCCTTGATCAAGGGCCACCCCACAACTGAGGCTCACACTTTACGCAAACTGTTCGTCATTTTGTTGTTGTGACTTTTTTTTAGACCCAGAGGAATTTTTAAACGCTCTCCTGCAACAAGTATTAAAAGCGGACCCATTCCTTCACTTAAAGTAAGTTATTTGTAAAACTACAGTTTGACTGCATTTCATACCGTAGACAACTGGGGTTTTGCTCAGGCGCAAACGTAACCTTGTTGTATGGATTTTACAGGCCCCGAGATGTACAAGAAAAGAAAGGTGAAGGAGCTTTCTTGTACCAGATAATAACTGACAAGGATGAAACGGTGAAAATTGCTCAGGTCCAAACTATGTTAGAGCAGTCTTTTATCTCAGCGGATCTCATACTATCTGAGGTAAGAGGGACGTGTGGTGATGCAAACGTTTCTTTAACGAAACAGCAATTTCTAATGAATACACCACACTTTCCCTAGTAACCTCTGTAAGTCTTAAGTGAAATTGTTGAACTCTTCACTCCCAGCATATATTTTCCTGGTAATATCTATAAATTTTCAAGCGATAGGGTAATAAAGAGTATGTTGCTATTATGCATATTATGTTTTGCCGTTGTTATTTCAAATTTGAAATATTTCATAGGAATAGTTAATTTGACCTGGTCCAGGTGCTTCTTTTCCTTTTGTTATTCAAACTTCCTGGTTTTTTTTTGGATTAGCAGATATATATGTATTTTGTTTTTCTCCGTCTCTGTTGTTGTAACCGTTTATTTGGATGTGAGCGGAATAAAAAGAAGCAGAAGTTTGTTCTAATCGTGAAACAAGAAAAATGCAAACAAAGCGATGTTGTGTGATTGAACACCAAATTCTTAGCGCCTCGTTTACGAGAAATGTATGGCAGACAGTGTAGAGATTTGAATTTAAAGCGGAACTAAGTCACTTTTCTCGCGTTGGTCTTTTTTTTGTTTTTGTTTTTGCCTGAAGTTTTGTCGGTTGTAATCCTCACATTGATCACCCTACTTTGATATTCTTGTGAGTCGTTTGTTTGTTTTCACAGGTACCATCGTGTTTGATTCTTCAGATGCCACGGTATGGTAACAGATACAAAATGTACGACATGATTCTATCCAATCTGGAACTCGACGTCACTCACATCGTCGAAAATGGTGCGTGCCACAGGGATCCCACACGTAGCTTTACTTTCTCAGAGTCGCTATCTGGCGACGTAAACTCATACAAGAGTCGCAGCAAACAACGAGAGAGAACACCAAATATTTTATTACTTAACGACTTAACGCCTGTCTTCGAAATAAGCAATTTTGCAGATACTTATTTCACTTTCACTTCAAGTAATGACAACGTCAAAACTTGCTTCATGACTGTCGAAGAGAGGTCATTAAATTAACGACTTTGCTTTAGATTTAGCTGCTAGTTTTTTCCTACCTCTGTCCCCTAATCCAGGCGAATGTGAAAATCTTAAAATTCTGTTTTCAGGGCTAAGTAGACGAATCATAAGGAATTATTGGGATAGAATCAACTGATTGGCAAAATTTTTCCCTCCGGCATCGAATCCGTTGTTTTAATTTTTAGAACTTAGTTTCCTCAAATTGGAAATTATTTTACATAATCAATTCGTGTCACCTATTGCGCGCTACTATGTCTTCAGTTCTGTGATTTTCAAAGTCACATGACTTCATCGTGTGACGTCATTTTGCAAAGAGCTTGTTGTTAACAAAGATCGTTTTGTTTCCAGTTCCTCACGAATGCATCATGTGCGGCAAGGACGTTGCTCAATATGAATGCAAGAGGTGCTATCAAAAAGGTCTCTTGAAGGACGGACCCGGAATAGCGAGCTATTGTAAGAGTTGCAATGAGAAAATTCACGCTCATCGAAACCGTCAGGATCATAAACCAAAGCCGATACTTCTACCTCGAATGTACAGTCACTACAGTGACCAAGCGAAAACGGTGGAAAAACAGCTAACACTCGATAAGCAGAAAATGGATCTCTTTGCTGTTGTCTGTATCGAGATGAGTCATTATGTGGCGTTTGTTAAGTGTGGTACGAAAAAAGACGCCCCTTGGTGCTTCTTTGACAGTATGGCGGACAGGGAAGGTGAATCCGAACTCATGACTGGCTATTTTGGTCATTCCTTCACTTTTTGTTTGTTTAATTGTTCTTTTCTTTGTTTCTTTGTCTCGACCTGACAGAAGTTATGACAAGTTATACTTATCAGTATCAATCGGCTGAACTTCCGATCAGTCGTTCTTATCTCCTAATAATTTTCCTTTTGTTCGTATATCTGTCCGGTCTTTTAATTGCCACTTCCAAATTGATTTGCAAGGAACGAGAGTACAAAACCTCAAGAAAAATCTTATCATTTCGATAATACAAATGTCATCTGAACTGACCCCTTTAATCCCTGTCCTATATGAACTACCCTCGTTTTTATTTTACTGTAAGGTTTTCAATTCTGGTATACAATACATTTAGGATATTTGATTTGGATATGTTACTTTTTAAAAGGCATAGCATTAGGGCTCTTGAGTTCAGTGTTGTAGATCAAACATTTAGGTGCCAATAGTTTAACGGGTATCAGTGTTTGTAACCTTAGGACATCTCTTACTCTGTTTATTTTTTTACCGCCTTACTTTTCATAAGGAAGAAATGGTTACCATATCCCTGCTGTGACACGTTGTCCTGAGGCACTGGAATGGCTCTCCAAAAGCCCTGAGGAAATCTTTACAGCAAAGGAAAGAGGCGAGATGCCTGAAAAAGTCCGTCGTCTGCTTGGAGATGGATATCTCTGTATGTACCAAAACTTAGACGCGACACTGTTTGAATAAATCTGGTGAAATGTAACACGTCAATACCGTAGATCATACGAGGACTAACCGCTTGTTAACTGGAATAGACCGAGGTCAAGTTAATAACTCTACACCGCATGAAATACACGTGTAAAATACGTTTGGAATTGCCTCTCGTCTGTGCACATAATAGTTTTGCGGGAGAAGTGTAGGTAAGGAAAAATTAACAAATGAAATGTTTCGGGCCCATACTTATTGTTTGTAGACATATCTTTCTTAGCCTCGCTCGCTTCTACGTAAGTTTGCACCATCATTTGAGACAATAGAAAAGTTTTTTAACTCTATAATTTCAAGTAAAAGAGATTTGCATGTAAAGCAGAAACTTTTAAATAATCTGGAGTGATCTATCAATCGCTTAGAAAGTGAGAAAATCAGCTTTGAAAGAATGTTGTAACACGTTTATGACACTTAAAGGCTTAAAGTGCATATGACAAGGTTTTTTTTCCGACAGATTCTGGTTGCTTATATCGTCTTTAATATACTTGAGGAATTTGGGAGCAATCCGGTAAATATAAGTACTGAATTTTTTCATTTGAATCGCTGTCACCGCTTGAATTTTTTTTTACCGCCACTTCGCTTGGCCAGACCACCAAATAACTAACCTCGTGACGTCACATTGAGTGTAACACTACAGCAATGGCGGACTTTAGTCGAAAGCGTACAGGAGGGAAAAGATGTGTCGCTGGAGCACCAAATAAGACGAGTTGTAGCAATAATTCATACACACCTGGTATAACGATGCATCAGTTCCCTTCTAATCCAGAAATAAGATCGAAATGGGTGAAATTTGTCCAAGTACATAGACCAGAAGACTTCAAGGAACCCGTGAATAAACATGCTTGCTTGTGCTCTGCACACTTCGAAGATTCATGTTTTACCCGAGATCTTACTATCGTTGAAAGCATGAGCGAACAAAACTTGCGCCGAGTGTTAATGAAGGGTTCAGTGCCAACGAGAGATACGACAAAAGCTCCAACGACTCCGATTTTAACTCAAAGGGAGAAAAGACAGGTAAGATAGTTTTGCACATAAGGAGGTACTCCGACGTGTGGTCAAAAGCTTATTCTAGTGTGTATTGTTTTTTTTTTTTTAGATAAAACGAGATGTACTGAAAAGTCTTGACGTTTATGATCCCGTCAATAAACGGAGAAAAGTTGTGGAGGAAGAAATATACTCAGAAGAAACGACAGAGAGTGTGGAAGGAAATCAAATATCAGTTGATATGGCTACATCGCCTACAAGCTCCACCGTAACAACAGTGATGCCACACCCGCCAGAAACACCAAGAAACAGCCTTGTTATTTCTCCAAGTATGCCAACAACAAGTACACCAGCAACAAGTACATCAACAACAAGCACACCTAGATCGTGTAAAGAATGCCTGAGAAGGTCGCAAAATTGTAGAAATCTCAGAAAAGCCAATATAAAGTTGAAACGAAAAGTTGCAGAACTAAGGCATTTGACCAAAGAACTAAAAAGCGTAAGTAGTGACGCCCAAAAGTGGACCCTACAGAGATTTATACAATGCCTTGATTCTACTGTGTTTGGCTGGTGTGATTCGTTTAATAACTTTATGTGACATATTGATCT